CATAATTGCCAATCCCTGGGTATTTCCCTGTCCCTTGTCTGTTCTGTTAACTCTACCCTAATGTTTGCAGAATGTACGTGTTGTGTATGGGGGTGTGGGTGTGGAGAGAAACAGCAGAGATTTGTAACGAGAAAAGTACTTGGCACCATGGCTGGCAGACACAGTAAAAAGACTTTTCATTTAATTTTGGTTCATGTGAACAAATTATCTGGAGAGAAAATACATAAAATAAACTCAAATATCTAAAAGAGTTGAAGAAAATATTGCCTAGGAGATACACAGTTGCTACATCTTTTCTTTCACGAATTTGTTATTCCTGTCCATTTACAGCAGGGCAAATATCAAGACACACAAAAAAAGAATAAATCATACATGTTATCCATTAATAGTATCTCAAATATATTCAAATTAACATTATCTATATTTCCTTTCATGGTACATAAAACTACTTCTTATCCATATGTGGCCTGGTAGCTATCTCATTGAGTGCAGTAACAAGAAATTTAGCAGTTTGAAATCCTGGCTCCTTCACTTACTTGTTAGAAGCCCATGGGCTTCCATTAAATAAATCTGGTGACTCTGCTTTCTTATCTGTAAAATAAGAACAATATCTACTATGATTTTGAGAAGCTTAAATAAAATATAGGCAAAGTGACCAACATAGTGTCTGGCAAACAGTAGTGGGATTTTTAGCAAAAATATACTGATATCACTGTTAATAATATTATTATATTTTTATTGGTTTGAGAGAGAGGAAAAGGGGGGGGGAGAAAAAGAGAGCGAGCAAGAGAGAGAACACTGATGTGAGAGAGAAACATCAATCAGATGTTTCCATTACACACCCTGACCGTGGATTAAACCTGCAACCTGGGTATGTGTCTTTCCTAGGAATCGAACCTGGGACCCTCCAGTCCACAGAATGACACTCCAACCAACTGAGCCACACTAGCCAGGGCTCACTGTTAATATTTTAACATTATAAAATAAAATAAATAAAATTGTAACAACTATCATTTTTATTTGCTAGATTCTCTAAGAAAAATTTCTCCTAGGAATCATCCCTTATTATTCCTAATGAATATCTTTCTTTTTTAAGATTTACACTCCACTTAACATTTTAAAACCATTTTCTGAGGGTGACTGTTAGTTATTTTCAACTCTATGCATAAGTTTTAAATTGATGTTTTGTTGAGAACAATATAATGAAATAAGAAAACTGTAATTCAAATTTCTCTTGAAAGTTACCTAAGAATTTACTACTAACTTATTAAAACATTAGAGAGGGAGTACCTACACTTAAAGTCAACTTTACAGTTAAAATCAACTTTAAGACAAAAATCATTAGTAGAAACAAAGGAAATTTTATAATGGTAAAGGGACAATCCATCAAGAAGACAGAACAATTAAGAACATACATGTACCTAACAACAGAGCCCAAAATAAACGAAGCAAAAATAGAAAGAATTGGAGAAATAAACAATTAACAATAGTGGAAGACTTCAATATCTCACTTTCAATGAAGGACTGGTAAAAGAGCCACAAAGAAATAGAGGACTTGAAAATATTATGAACCAACTAGATATTTATAAAACACTCCATCCAATAATAGCAGAATATACCTTCTTCTCAAGCATACATGGGACATACACGAGGATAAACCATGCTGGATCATAAAACAAACTTTAATACATTTAAAAGGACAGAAGCCAAGCATGTTCTTTAATCACAATGGGATGAAATTAGAAATCAATAACAGAATGACACTTGGGAAATTTACAAATATGTGAAAATCAAACAACACATTCCTAAATAATCAACAGGTCAAAAAAGAAATCTATGCAGTCCTTAAGAATTTAGAGCTGTAAATGACTACATTAAAAAGTAGACTGCCCTGGCCGGTTTTGCTCAATGGTTAGTGTGTTGGCTCACAGACAAAAGGTTGCAGGTTTAATCCCAGGCCCCAGTTGTGGTCCTGCAGGAGGCAGCCAATCATTGTGTCTCTCTCACAATGATGTTTCTCTCTCTCTCATATTCTTTCTCTGTCTTTCCCCCCGCCCCCCCATCTAAAAATCAATAGAAAAGTATCCTTTGGTGAGGATTAACAACAATGAAGACGACAAGCTACAGACTGGAGAAAATATTTGCAAAAGACATACCTGATAAAAGACTGTTATACAAAATACACAAAGAACACTTAAAATTCAACATGAAAATAATCTGATTTTTAAAATAATCCAAAGACTTAACAGATACCTCACCAAAGAAGACAGAAGATAGCTATCATTAAACATCGAAATCTGACAAAGATATAACGTAACAGAAACTCACTGCTGGTGTGAATGCAAAATATACAGCCACTTTGAAAGACTGTTTGGCAGTTTCTTACAAAACTAGACATACCCTTACCATGTGATTCAGCAAATATGCCCCTTGGTATTTACCTAAATAAGTTGAAAACTTATGTCCACATAAAAACCTGCACACAGATGTTTACTGCAGCTTTATTTGCAACTGTCAAAATTTGGAGGCAACCAAGTTGTCCTTCAGTAGGTGAATGGATAAATAAACTGTGGTGCATCCAGATAATGGAGTATTTCTAAGTACTAAAAAGAAATGAACTCTCAAGACATGGAGAAACTTTAAATATATATATAACTAACTGAAAGCCAATCTGAAAAGTCTATATACTATATGATTCCAAATATATGACATTCTGAAAAAGGAAAAGAAAAAAAGACAGTGGAAATACTATGCATGAAAAGTATGCATATACACCACCAAGAATGAACCTTAATATAAACAATGTACTTTGAGTAATGATGTGTCAACACAGGTTCATCCACTGTAACAAATGTATCACTCTCGTGAAAGAGGTTGATAATGGAGGAGGCTATGCATGTCAGGAAGCAGAGAGTATATGGGATATCTCTGCACCTTCCTCTCAATTTCTTGTGAAGCTAAAATTGCTCTAAAAAAATAAAATCTATTAAAAAATATCCTACCAATAATCTAAACTCCCACCTTTAGAAAACTAGAAAAAAGAAAAGCAAACTAAACCCAAACCAAGCAGAAGGAAAGAAATAATAAAGACTAGAGCGGAAATAAATGAAATGGAGGGAAAAAAAAAAGAGAGAGAGAGAGAAAAAACAATGAAACCAAAGTTGAGTCTTTGAAAAAAATCAACAAAACTTTAGCTAGATTGACCAAGAAAAAAGAGAACAGTCAAATGACTAAAACCATGAATCAAAGAGAGGACACTAATACAGGTACTAACCTTACAGAAATAAAAAGGATTATAAAGAAATACTATGAACAATTATATTCCAATAGATTAATCTAAATAAAATGGACAAATTCCTAGAAAGACACAAACTACTAAAACTGACTCAAAAAGATATAAGAAAATCTGAATAGACCTATAAGTAAAAAGATTAAACTAATGATTTAAAAAAAAAATCCTATGAAGAATGCCCAGACCAGACAACTTCACTCTCACCAAACATTTAAAGAATTAACAATCCTTCTCAAACTCTTGACAAAAAATGTAAGAGAGTTCACTTCCAACTTGTTCTACGAGGCCAGGATTACCCCAATACCAATACCAGTTAAAGATATCTAATTTAGTAGGACTAAAGAGTAAGAAAATAAAGTTAAATATGAAAACTTTGAGCTTAGTGAGCCAGACATCAATGTGGTTCAAGATTGAAGCAGTAATTGTTTTCCCCGATACCTAAATTATTTTAAATACTTTGATATTATAATAAAAATTTTTGGATTACTCTTTTCTGTTTCCTTTCTCTAGAATATGTGGTGTGAGTGAAGACCCACCTAAATTTTGAGAAACAGTACTTTCTCTACTATGCCACTTTCCTTTCATAGGAAGCTAGCCTTTCTTCCTGTGCATTATGTTAGAAATATAGACAACCATGGAAATTTTGTTTACCCTTATTATCAATCTTCTCACATATAAAAGTACTTCATTATCTGCATTTATGTTGCCTCATTAAAAAAGGGGGGGGTATAGCACCTAGAAAAAGCAACATATCTAATAATTATTTCCAATTTCTCCTTGAACCTATTCCTTTCAAGTCATTATTTTCTTCTGACCTTCTCAGAACCCAAAATGTCTTCATATACCTCTTGACTATAGCCAATGATGATACTAAAAATGTTTACAACTGGCGGCATAAACATCAAAGAGACAGACACCAGTTTAAAAACACTTGGCTGTAATGGAACATGTTAACCAAATATCAGTGGTAGTTACAGCTTCTTTCAACAGTCTGCGATACTTTTTTTCCAGTGCTAGAAAGACCTTTGGTTGTTCCTTGCTCACCAATTCACAGAAAAAAGAAGGCAGTTTTCATACAAGATAACCAGATAAATTGGATTCCAAAGATGAGTTTAATGTAGTCTTCTATTAAATCTTTAGTTTCCCTACTTTTATTCCTTAATATTAAATTAAGGGTAAGTATTAGAAAGAACACACTATTGTTTTCTTTTTCCTACACCAATGATCTCCAGAGAATGAGGTTCTTTGGTCAGCTTTTTATTATAGCTTTGTTATTTGATTTTATCCACAAGGTTAGAGGTATAAGTTCTTTACGCATTCAACCAAATGAAAACATTTAATGCATAGACGAATGAATGGATCTGGAAATATACTAAGGATAATGTAAACTGTTAGCAAAACAAATAAATGTCTGACATTTAGAGAGGAAACAATAGAAAGGGAGTAAGAAATTCACAAAAAAGCAGAGATGGCTCACAGGGGTGGGGAACTTTTCTGCCAAGGGCCACCTAGATATTTGTAACATCATTCATGGGCCATACTTAAAAATTAGCCTGATATATTTGGTCAGGCTAATTTGGTGAGTTGTTTGATATTAGCTTTGTATGGCCCATAAGCCAGATATTCCCCACCCCTGCAATAAACCCGAAATCACAGTTATGTATAATAACATCATATATATCTGTGTTGCTTTTAAGGATCTTCTTACCCAACTTTGGAAAAACTATTAGGTATTCAGCATTGCACTGAGGACATGCCACTCTGGCAGTACTGTTTCCTCTTTGTTTTTCATCCACCCAGCGCTGTAGACAAGCCTGGTGCACCCATTTCGTAGATCCTCTGCACCTGCATGGTCTCACCCATTCAGCAGTTCTATCATCTTCATCAGTGGCAAAACACACCCAGCAACTTCTGTAAAAGAGAAAATAATGACATTATCTTTAAGACTCCGTCCTTCTCTCCACTGTACCTCTTGCTTAATGGGATGAATCTACTACAGTATATTACAGAACCTCTATATTACATTAAAGGACTGAGGAGAAAAAAACATCAATACAATCCCTGTAGCATAGTTTCTTCTTTTTCTGTTTTTCCTTGTATTCATCTGTAGAATCTTTATTTTCTGAATTTTGTTTTCATGTAATTTATTCCATCTTTCCAGTAATTTATCTTCTGTAATGAATCAGAGGAAGCAGCCCGCATGCTGCTTTTGTTTTATAAGACTTAATCATTCCTTGAGGAGTGGTAAGCACAGGAATATATGAAATTCAGTGTTTCCCTCATTTTAACATTAACCTGTTAACCTCCTGAACTGGGAAAGCTAAAGTACTGCACAAGTGATTTCACATAGGGTCTCATTCAATTTTCAACCGGGGGAAAACGCCTGCCCATTTCTCTTTCTGGTAAAGCATAACTATAAGAAAATAGATTAATTTTTTTTTTTTTTAAACAGAGCCAAAAGGAAGAAGAGATGAAGATGCAGAGTAAATGGTTTTAGGATGATATGATAAATTTAGGCCTACAAACCATTATAGGTGTGATTGGTTTTCCTTTTTTTGGAGTTATGTTTATTACATGTGAAGTCTAGAAGTATCAAGTCTGGGATACTTTTTATATTAAGAAAAAATTCTAGCCCTGGCCGGTTTGGCTCAGCGGTTAGAGCGTCGGCCTGCGGTCCCGAGAGACCTGGGTTCGGTTCACACTAAGGGCATGTACCTCGGTTGCAGTTTGTCCCCGGCCCTGGTTGGTCGTGCGGGTGGCAGCCACTCGATGTGTCCCTTTCACATCGATGTTTCTCTCTCTCTTCCTCTCTCCCCCTCCCACTCTACCTGAACAAAAAATAGAAAAATGTCCTCAAGTGAGGATAAAAAAAAAAAAAAAAAAAGAAAAAATTCTATAGAGATGGTTAAATTTATAACATTTTCCCATTTTGCTTTTACAGGTACTTCAGGAGGTTTAATTTGTAATTCCTTATTTTTCTCCCAATTAACACAAATTTTGATACCAAGTTCCATTAGGGCAAATAAAATTTAACTCAGTGAGACCATTCACCAACCCTCCTTCCATTAAAATATGAATGTACAATTGGAAACAACTGCTAATTAAAGCTTCTTACCTACTGTGCATTTTTCACTTAATTAGACAAGTGACTTCTGTCAGAATAACTAGCTTAACTATGCTCAGTGGGAAAGATTATATAGTCAGAAACTATTGATGGGTGAGGGCTCCAGTTACTGTAGAACATGAATTTTAATTGTGTGCTCCAATTAAAACTTTTCAATTAGAACAGGAAAAAAAAAAACTGAGCTGAACCGATGGCAACAATATCCAAAATTATGATTTTACTCAGCTTTCAAATTCATAGGTTTCATACAACCGAGTATAAGAATGGGAGCAGGCAGAATTTAACATGCTGACTCTGGCCCACCTCAGCCAAACTGGACCATCACACTGTCTCATTATGGTTATCCAAATATGCCTTCTCCTTTTTCTTTGTAAAAATTGTTTTGTGGGCCCTGGCCTGTTTTGCTCAGTGGTTAGAGCGTCGGCCTGCAGTCCAGAGAGACCCAGGTTTGGTTCCTGCTAAGGGCGCGTACCTCGGTTGCAGTTTGTCCCCAGCGCTGGTTGGTCGTGCGGGTGGCAGCCACTCGATGTGTCCCTTTCATGTCAATGTTTCTCTCGCTCTCTCTCTCTTCCTCTCTCTCCCTCCCACTCTATCTGAACAAAAATGGAAAAATGTCCTCGGGTGAGGATAAAAAAATTGTTTTGTGGTAAAATATACATAACTAAGTTTATTAATTTAACCATGTTTAAGAGTACAACGAAATAGAATTAAATACACTGACATTCTGCAACTATCACCACTATCCATGGTTTGAGTTTTAACCTACGGTTTTTGCATAAAAGTTCAATTGACAACTACAGAGCAAATAGGTGAGTTAATTAAGGTGTTATATATTTTCTACACAACCGAGATAATTTTGTGAATGTATCTGTATACATCTGGGACATACAATATATCCTTTTGGTAACAAAATATAGGAAAACTATGTAGAAACTTTGTAGGTTCTTAAGTTTTTCAATTCAACAATGGAACATATATGTAGCCAAGTACAGTCAGACTAGCATAATTTATCAGTATTAAAGTGAATCAAATTTTAAATTAAGCCAATTTCAGCCCTGGCCGGTTTGGCTCAGCGGTTAGAGCATCAGCCTGCGGTCCAGAGAGACCCGGGTTCGGTTCCCGCTAAGGGCACGTACCTTGGTTGCAGTTTGTCCCCGGCCCTGGTTGGTCGTGCGGGTGGCAGCCACTTGATGTGTCCCTTTCACATCGATGTTTCTCTCTCTCTCTCTCTCTCTTCCTCTCCCTCCCTCCCACTCTATCTGAACAAAAAATGGAAAAATGTCCTTGAGTGAGGATTAAAAAAAAAAAAAAATTAAGCCAATTTCAGTCATCAGGAAAAAAATTAAATGTAAAAATATATCTATGCAAAAAAAATCTTTTAGATTTGGAAGTAACATATATATACATACACACACACACACATTTTTTTAATTGATTTTAGAGGGAGAAAGAGAGGAAGGGAGAGAGAGAAACATTGATTTGTTGTTCCACTGATTTACGCATTCACTTGTTGATTCTTTTATTTGTTACAGATATTTCTCTTTTTTCCCCCTATTGACACCCTCCTCCCATGCTCTGCATTACTGTCTATGTCCATGGTTACACATACTTGCATGTAAATTCTGTGATTTATCTCTTCCCTCCCCACCCCGTTCCCCTCTTTTGAGGTTTGTCAGTCTGTACCCTACTTCTTTCTATGTCTCTGGGTCTATTTTGTTCATCAGCTTGTTTTGTTTATTATATTCCACAAATAAGTGACATCATGTGACATTTATCTTTTCTCTGATTAGCTTGTCTCACTTAGGATAATACTCTCCAGGTCCTTCCATGTGGTCTCAAAGGATAAGAGATTTCTTTCTTACTGCTGCATAATATTCCATTGTGTATATGTACCACTGCTTTTTTATCCACTCATCTATTGATGGACATTTGGGCTGTTTCCAGATCTAAGTGATTGTAAACAGTGCTGCTATGAACATAGAGATACATATGTTCTTTCTGATAGGTGTTTTAGGCTTCTTAGGATATATTCCTAGTAGTGGGATCACTGGGTCATATGGAAGTTCAATTTTTTAATTTTTTGAGGTAACACCATATTGTTTTCCACAGTGGCTGCACCAGTCTGCATTCCCACCAGCAGTGTACTAGAGTCCCTTTTTTCCCACACCCTCACCAGCACTTGCTGTTTGATGATTTGTTGATGGCAGCCATTCTGGCAGGTGTGAGGCGATACCTCAGTGCCATTTTAATTTGCATCTGATGATTAGTGACGTTGAGCATTTTTTCATATGTCTCTCAGCCATTTCTATGTCCTTTTTGGAGAGGTGTCTATTTAGATCCTCTGCCGATTTTTAAACTGGGTTGTGATCCTTTTGTTGAGCTGTATGAGTATATATTCTGAAAATTAACCCCTTATCTGATGTATTGTTGGCAATAATGCTCTCCCATATAGTGGGTTCCTTCTCCATTTTGATGGTTGTTTCTTGTGCTGTGCAGAAGCTTTTTAGTTTGATGTAGTCCCATGTGTTCATTTTTTTCCTGTTTCTCTTGCCTTAAGTGTTGTTATCAGTGAAAATTCTGCTGTGTGTGATGTCTAAAATTTTGTTGCCTACATTTTCTTCTAGAATTTGTATGGATTCACTAGTCACATTTAAGTCTTTTATCCATTTTGAGTTTATTCTTGTGTATGGTGTAAGTTGATGGTCTAGTTTCATTGTTTTGCATGTAGCTGTCCAATTTTCCCAATACCATTTATTAAAGAGGCTGTCTTTACTTCACTGTATGTTCTTGCCACCTTTGTCAAATATTAATTGAGCACATTGCCTTGGGTCCATTTCTGTGTTCTCTGTTCTGTTCCACTGGTCTATATATCTGTTCTTGTGCCAGTACCAGGCTGTTTTGATTACAGTGGCTTTGTAGTAGAACCTGAAATCTGGTAATGTGATCCCTTCAACTTTGTCCTTCTTTTTCAAGATTGCCGTGGCTATTCCAGGTCTTTTTTGGTTCCATTTGAACTTCTGTAGTTATTTGTTCTAGTTGTGAAGTATGTCGTTGGTATTTTGATGGGGACTGCATTGAATCTGTAGATTGCTTTGGGTAGTATGGACATTTTAATGATGTTAATTCTTCCAATCCATGAACAAGGTATGTGCTTCCACTTTTTATATCTTCCTCTATTTCTTTGACCTGTAGTTTTCTGCAAATAGGTCCTTTACCTCTTTGGTTAAGTTTATTCCTATGTATCTTTATGTTTTTGCCACGATGGTAAATGGGATTGCTTTTTTAGTTTCTCTTTCTGTGAGTTCATTGTTGGTGTAAAAGAATTCCACTGATTTCTTAACATTAATTTTGTATCCTGCTTCTTTGCCAAATTCATTTATTAAATCTAGTAGATTTTTGATGGAGTCTTTAGAGTTTTCTATGTACCGTATCATGTCATCTGCAAATAATGACAGTTTCACTTCTTCCTTTCCAATGTGAGTTCCTTTTATGTTTTCTTCATGTTTAATTGCTATGGTTAAGACTGCCAGTACTATGTTAAATAAGAATGGTGAAAGTGAGCATCCCTGTCTTGTTCCTGTTCTTAAGGGAAATGCTTGTAGTTTTTTGCCCACTAAATATGATGTTGGCTGTAGGTTTTTCATATATGGCCTTTATTATGTCAAGATATGATTCCTCTATTCCCATATTGCTGAGCGTTTTTATCAGAAATGGGTGCTTGACTCTGGTTGATTCTTGTTATGTACCCTGACTAGGAACTGAACCAACAACCTTGGCGTATGAGGAC